GTAATATACTTAATACGTATAACGAATTATACGCCATAGGTGCAACTAGGGGGGTGCTGCAACACCCCCAGATGAAAAATACCAAAAATAGAAAAATCATATGAAAAAAGTTTTCTTTGTTATACGCAAGATTGTTTTTTATTTGGAAAACACAAATTATTTATGATGATTATAGTTATATAATATGGTTGTATCAAAAATTATTTATGTGAMATTGACATTTTTATCTGTTTATACTAGGTCATTATATGAATTATTAGGTAATATACCTAATGTATTTATGAGGTATATTACTGTTTAGTTACTTAAATATTAGTGTGCTTATGTTTTTACAGTGCACTTAAGATTGGTTAATGGTTATAGTAATTATAAAATTGAAGAATGGTACTTAGGGGTGTGGGGGTATAGCCCCCGCGGACCTGTTTCATCTACATAATTTTAGCACCCCCAGTGTTAGGCCTCTAGTTGCGCCTATATGCTTATATACCTACCTATATACGTGTCTAATAATGTTAAGTGGCGTGAATTATAATTCATAATTAACTTTGCGCATCGTGGGTGCTAAACGAATCTCATAATTAGGGATCAGAGTTATATTTAAATGCCTACATATTTTTACTGTGACTAGATAAAYTAATTTAGATAAGTGGTAAGTTCGTTTCAACTGTTTCAAGGGATTTCCAATGAAATTAACTATATTTTTTTTCTTCATATTTTTACATATTTTGTCATAAGTACATGTTTTTACATATTTCTCAATNGTACTGTGGCCCGGACTTTCGAGGAGTTTGGCATTCATAAAAATAATTTTTTCAATATATCCGGATTTAGCAGGGACGAAAATATGATGTGGGAGTCTGGTTATACCTAATAAAAAAATTGATAACATTTGAAATGTATTTTAAACTGTTTTTATAATATTTATGTATACTTACATTCGATCGAACTCCTCCGATTCCAAACAAAAGTCCCATTTTCAAGCAATCGTTTTTAATACGGGAAATAGCTCTACAGTTTAATGGATTAATTATTCCCTTGTCACTATCGTCTTGATCCCCGTCTATTAACTCCACACCGATCATCAGTCCTTTGCCTCGTACGTCACCGATTATTTTCCACTCGCGTCTCATGCCACGCAACTTTTCTAGAAAATATGTGCCCACATCTAAACAGTTTTGCTGCAAACCTTCTTCTTCGATTACCTAGAACAAAAATGTATCGTATCGTCGTAATCATATTATATTGTACTTGAACATTACTCCCTATTCCCTACTAAAACCAGTACCTATTCTATTGCACCCTCGCACGCGTAATA